TTTAACTCACAAATACAATCGTGTTTACAAATTGCTGGAAATGTGCAGGTTACCAGCGTGAGAGATCTTTAAAAAAATTACATTTGCGTAATTTTTGAAAAAAAACCTGAAATGAACATTATCTTATATTAAAGAGTGCATTTAGCACTATTCTTGCGAAAGGTTTGAAAAAAAATTGCAAAAATGATATTTTTTGACTTGTCTCTCACGCCGTTAATTCTCACATTACCGGCAATTTGTTCACATTATTATATTTATGAGTACATGTGCTTTAAATATTGTCATACGAAGCTTCTCGAAAACTCAACCGTGTTCTGTCAAAACTAGCTCAAAATTTCGCAATCGAAGGGATTCTGGAACTCAAGACAACATGCGCAGATGATCTTCTCCCCCATACGTCACATACAGTTCTTACTATTTTTTGACTAAATAAATCTAAATAAAATGAGAATGATTTTTACAATATGTCCTTTGCTAGAGGTCTAAAAACTAACACTTCTCATAGCAAATTTAAACGAATAAACAAATTATTAATGAAAAATCCTGTAAAATGTATATTTTTTCTAAAAAAATCAAACTCATTTTCAACGTCCTTGTGGCTGTTTTTTGAAAATTTCATCGCAATCTGAAAACCCGCTCAAAACCGCATACATGTTTTTATGCATTTCCGCCCGTTGAGCGGTGTTCCGCGAAATCAATTTTTGTCCCGCCCGCGCGAGAGACAGAGAGCCGTTTTCCAGCCCAAAAAGCGGAATTCCTCCCAATCTGGCAAACCTGCTCACAGTCGGGCATTTTTATAATATCCCTAGGATTGAGAAATATAATAACTAGAGGGCGGATTTTGATTACATCGTCAAAAATTATCAATGAAATATTCTAAAAATGTTTTTAAAATGTCCTAAAAACGAAGAAATTTTTTTTATTTTTTTTATTTTTATTAAAGCAAATTCAGATGCGTAACTCAAGCTGTTGGATATGTTAATAATGTAATCGCAGTGACGGATCGAGGGGTGCCTGGCCACTCCCAAACAAAAGGAGTCAGTGTCAAGAGAGTAGGAAACTAATTAACACGATTAATTCTGTCATTATGTAGCTCCACTAGTTTAACCAGAAATTCCTTTGGTGGCTTTAGTGGTGTGCATTACGGACTTCTGTCCTGCCTCTACGATTTTTTTGGAACCGGTCTTACTCCTTCAATATTGAAGCTAAAGATTTTTCGTAATGAATACTTTTATGGTTCAGATTTTTACATCGATTCATGCTCAAGTTTTGTGAACTACCTTTAAATATAGTTTTCGCCTAATTTTGTGTTAAACTTTTTGAGTTTTTCAAGTAATAGTTCCCTTGTTAGTAGAATAGAATGTTACTGATAATACCTCGTAGTCGTTACCAATAATACGATAAAATGTATGTTGTAAGACCACTAGTTTACTATTAATGTAAAAGACATCTTATAACTTTTCTGACATTTCGACGCGCTATTGACACACACTACCACCACCTACTCGACAGAACGATAACAATAACACTTATCGACGGGCAATGCCATATCGTGAAGTCCTGTTCATAGACTACCGTAGGCGAATCTTATCGTCACACAAACCCACGTCGGCAATGCTGATGGCAACGTAAACTAACACTCGCAAGCCGATAGCTTACGATAAGTTAACATGACGCACCATTGTACGTGGCATCAAAACTGGTAAATAGAACTTGTAAGTTGAACTTGTAATTTCACCCATTAGCATATATTTCGGGGTAAAAGTGCGCTGCTAATATTAATTTACACGAGTGACATCCTAAATATAGGTAAATTAAGAATTATAACCAGACAGCAATTAGCATTATGTGTACATTGGTCTCATGAGTAAGGTGTCTTGTTTTTGCAGTTAATTTGAAAACGAAGAAGGGGTTTGTGGTGCGGTTGAAGTAATTTAAAACCGCTTTGTCCTACCAGAAGGTTATTCAGAAGTGATCAGTTTCGAGATATTGTTAATAAAACTGATTTTATATTATGAATATGACATATTATTTCTGAATCTTAATACAGTTGTACGGGGTAGATTACATAAGTTTCCGGCCTCACTAACTTCTATTTTTGACAGAAAGAAAAAATATAATGTGAATTTTCAACTTAATTGTCCTTTACTTCAACCCACTTTTCACATTAGTATATTAACATTTCTACACCTTTGAAAAAATACTCCGAATTTCTGTTCTCAAAATGGTCAAAAACTGCTTCGTTCACTTTACACTCTTCTGAAACTTTTCTTCCCCGAAGGTTTTTCTTCAGTTTTGATAAGTTATAGACGTTGCTCTGTACCCAATCTTGACTGTAGTATGAATGATCCGACTCCTAAAACCCAACATTTACAACATTTCAGTCCTTTACAACATTTTTTTGCAATTTGAGTAGTAAGCACAGGTGCGTGGTCGTGAAAAAGCTATACATTATGTGATTTCATGCATTGCATCCAACTCGCGTACCTCTCCACAAACCTGAGTGAGATTGCAGCTGCAAACTTATATCTTTACAACAATTAAAAGATAAGACTAAACCTGCTCTGGTTTTCTCATTGATGAGCGATATATTGGTCAGGCCGGAAACTTAAGGAACCACCTATGTACAAGGGTTCTTGGTCCATGTGCGTGTATGGCACGGCAAAGTAGGGGGAGGATGACAAAAGAAGTTATCATCACCCCGAAATTGTAATTAATGCCACGGCATTAACATAAGTTCAACCCCTTTTTCCCTTCTTTAATCCGACCATTTGAGAAATTGTATACGACTTTTGGGTAAGAGGCTCGAGCATCTGACCATAGTGCAGGCCCGGTGGATAATGTGGGTATGACCGGTAGCTATACCCACACGAAAAATTCCGAGTGGGTACAATACTCACTCGAAATTTGGGTTGAGAGGAATATTCCATAAAAGTGAAACGCAATGTTTTTGCATTGCAAAAATGAACTGCTGAAGTTACATAAAATAAATGTGATATCAATTTGATGGCAATTTAATGATAAACATAACGATTTGAAATGTTTTTGTCTTGTATTTTCTCCTTGAAATACATTTTCGGTGGAAGATGGAGGGAGAGGGGGATTTCTCCCTTCCTGGGTCAACTACTAATTTGGACGTAATACAAACCGCCGGCCCTGCCGTAGTGTAAATTATTTAAAGTAATAGTTATTTATGGTACGGGTGGTTAAAACTAATTTAATTTTGCGTGTAGGAATGGTTGCGACACAAGGCCAATAGACTAAATAGCGCAATCTTACGAGCAAAATAAAATCACTTTTTACCACGTGTGTCATCACTATTTTTAGAAAGCCTTACTGACTTTCACTTTATTTTAATTCAGGTGTATAACGCATTGATACATTAAGGTCAGTTGAAGCTCAAGCGGTCATACAAAGGTATTTTGTTTTCTTTGTTGCATTCAAAGATTTTTCAGAACAGTTTAGTATCGTCCCACTTTTAGCACTAGCACTATAACTGTAGCACCAGCATTAAAAATTGAACTTTTAGCACTGCCCTTTAGTTATGCCTGAAAACACGTTTTTACTTCTGTCTGTCTAACAAATAAATTGTATTTAATAATTGTATCATTTAAGTTATAAAATTATTCACGTTGTATGTTTTGTTCATTTACAAGTAAGATATGTCATATTTTAATTTTTTTTATAAGTTCAATGGAAAAGGAAGTCAAGAAATAAGTAGTCCCTCCTCATGCTTTCGGCTTCGCACGCCCGTGTATTTCATTATTTCCTTTTCACAATTATCTATTGTATATTCAGCACACGAAATAGTATTTAATGTTTGAAGAAGTGACCTATGAATTTCGAAAGGTTCAACTCTTCTGCGCTTCCGCTAGTAGGGCGTTGAACGTATTGTCATCACATCTTCAATATTTGGTTTGTGAGGTCAACGCTGGAATAACGGGGAATGTGGTCGGGAACATGAAACAATAACATTACTTTAAAACTGTACTATTGAAATGAACTTCCGTGTATACAACATGAATATTTTCATATCTCATTTGACAAGAACAAAGTCTTATGACAATAAACATTTTAAGTAATTATAATTTGTTAAATAAATATTGGAAGTGTTGCTCATTGTAAATGTATTCTCCTAGATCATTTAAAAACGTGAAGTTCAATAAAAAAAAATTAAACTATTTATCCATGTTGCACCGGCAAAGGTGGCTCAGGGCATCAACTGATGTCACTGCAGTACCTCTGGCCAGGATATCCTGGGTTCGAGACCCGATGGTAGCAGGATTTTCGACACTGGCTAAACAGGTCGAATTCAACCGTTGTCTGGGGGAGAATTCTAGCCGCCGGATGCTCTGATCGGTAGTTTTCCGTGCTTTTTCGACCAACGCCAGGCGGATGCCGGTGCAGTACCCGAATAAACGAAAAAAACGCGATCTTTCGTTCCTCTTCCTTGTCCTATCCCCCCTTACATTTACACTGGCAAATACTAGGTATCTACACTATATGTACACTATATATCACCCGCTTAGAGCTTGTCCCGGCTGGGACGGTGCCTCGATGGTGGGAGATACCTGGTTAGAGAAAAACCCCACCGGATCTCGTTAGACAGTGGGGAAAAATCATCTCTACATCCTGCCTTGAAAAAGGTGTACTACACTCACGGGAATAAAGTCCTTAACAGTTCACGAGCCCAAAATCACCAAGCAATCTATCCGTGTTGCAAATCAATTTTCAAATGTGAAGCATGTTCTTTTCTTTCTAATAATTTTATCGTGAATGAAGCGATGGAGCTGACCGCAGTTCATCAACTATTCAGTTACTCATTGAGCTCACTATGATTCAATAATTCATTCTTCGTTCGAGATAGAAAAGATACATTTGACAAATTTGGAGAAGATCAGTTTTCATCCCGTTTCAGATTGTATTCAATTTATTCGTAGAAGCGCATCCTTGTAAAGATATATTACAAACTTTCCTTCAGTGACATTTAAGTACTTTCATATAATATGCTTTGGTAGATGAAAGGAATAATAACTTGTACAGAAAAAGCTAATAAAAAAATATTTTTTTGGAATTATGACACAGGAAGCACGCTTCCGACCAGCACGGTTGTACGTACATTGGTGACAAGTGAGAAGAACAGACTTATGAGGGCTTATGCCTGCGTATGACTCAGATTTCAAGGACATCGTGGACTCTCGCTGCCTTTGTTCACTTCGTTTGACTGAATAGTGAGTTTATCACGACATTGGTGCAATCAATGCCTTGCTGTAAAATCTGGCAGATGCCCTTTGTGAAACTGAGACAAGTAATATCGTAAGCAAGTTCAGGTTCGTCGCCCACAGGTTACGCAGCTGACAAGCAGAAAAGTTGGCATTCTGTAGTACGAAGCTGAGCTACATCTGTTCCGCGCTGTTCTGTGGTTCCGTCACAGAAAGAATAGCTACTAAATTACATCTCATATAACTACATAAGGAACATCGTACCTGATCGTACCGACTAGGTATGTGTAAAAAAATACGTCTTCAAAACAGAGAATTGTGTGGTCTCAAATTTTCTTGTGACAGTGATACACATTTTTTTTAGATAGCCGTGAACTCGAGTGCAAATCTAAACATTGGCGAACAAAGGATGTTATTAAATTCAGATCATGAATTATATTGTTAAACCCACAGATAAGATAAAAAGGATGAAGGCGCTTTATTGCAGTCCTCGTTCGATACTCCAGCACCTAGAACGGTCGTAAGACCGTTCATGTGCCATTTGGTATGCTGTAGTGTAATTATTTAAGACAAACGCTTTTATTTTTGTGTGCATCATGATGAAAGAAACATATCAACCTTCGCAAAATGCCGATATTCCATGTGGAATTAGTGTCATCCAGAAACTTTCAAAACGTTGTCCTTCAACTGAAAGTAGAAGAGTTACATGGTAAATGTAGTTTTTGTTTTTGTTTTATTTTACTGCTGTGATTTGTGTGTTTCTATATTAAAATTATTGTATTATGTAATAATTAGAAAATTGTTTATGTTCATTATAGGTATCGTGTCAGCATACTAGCTTTGACTTATATAGCTTATACATGTTATCATTTATCCCGAAAACCTATTAGTGTTGTTAAAAATGTTTTGCATCAGAATTGTAGTGAAGTTCCACGTAGTGGCATTAAAATAGAAGAAAATTCATGTAGTTGGGCACCATTTGGTAAGTAATCTGTTGAAATATTGTGACACACAATTTATAATATTAAGTAACTTGTACTAAGTTCTAAAGCTCTTAAATTATATTGATAGATGGTACAGATTATACAACTCTACTGGGAACTTTGGATTCAGCATTTCTCTTTGCTTATGCAGCAGGAATGTTTATCAGGTAGGTTTTTTCAAATTATAATAATCATAATATATTGAAATTAATTATCTAATTCATTGACATCAAGTACTTTGTAGTAATGTTACGAACACTACAAAAGTAATATTGTAAACCTGATTGTTGAATTAGTTTTGAAGGTTAAAATAAAATGGCATGTTTATTTTTGCGACTTTGACTTTAATTGTAAAGTATTAACATTGAAAATTAATTAAATTTTGTTATCACTAATAACAGTAGGAATGCATTTTGGTTATATTTTAACTCAATAATAATTTTGTCATTTGTGTAACTGGATATTCTTGGATTAGAATTAGAAATTACCTTCTATATTTTTGTTTTGTAAATTTGCCATCATTACACTGAAAAATTTGCAACTTAATAAGTAAAGTGATGATTTTTTGCTGGAGATCAATGGAAACAAGATGGGAATCTCTGAATAGGCAGACAAAGAGGCGCTTAAAGCTGCTGCAATAGGTAAAATAAAATCATTTTTTAAAAATAATGAATGTAACCTTACAGTTTAACAAGGCGGTGTAGAAGTAAAACAATAATTGATCAAAATTGCTGACAAAGTAATTTTTTCTCATTTTATTTCCCACCCTGTCTGCATATTAGAGGCATGTTTGTAGGGAAAAAAAAATTTTCTTTTTGACTTACAAGTGTAAGAAGATATTTCATTCTTCGCCATTTATAGGACTGTTTACTTTTAAAATAAGCTTCTTTCTTTCTTTTTGTTCATGAAATGCAAAACACAAATTTAGGCCAAATATGCATTTATTTAAAAAAATTAGGTATTAGGCAAAAAAGAAAATTTGAACCACAAAGACGTCATTTGTTAAGGTTTTGTTTTAAATCTCTAGCTAACTTGTATGGCACTTTGCCCATGTTCCAGCCTCTTCAAATGATTTAATGCAAATGTATTTGCTTTGTTTGTAACAAATAACTTCAATAGTTGTTTTCTTTAATTACTGAGCAAAGTGAAAGTTTTAATTTCTATCACCAAACTCGCCTGTATCCTGTAAAGTACATTTAAACCTGTCTGCAGAGACTACTAATAGTTCAGCAAAAATTGCCTGTAATTAGAAGTGGCTATGTAAGTAATGCTAAGAAATTATAGAAAGTGTACATAAGACCTATTTGTGCCAATTGCTATGAATAAAGTATATTTTTCTTAAAATATTTTTAATTACTGAAAACTACAAAATACAATTAAACAAATATCTACTTTTAAAGAATCATTTCAACATAAAATTCCCATGATGGATAGGTCCACTTAATCAAGGGCGTTGAGCAGGTTTCACGATGTTAGCTAAAAATTGTTTTTCTTTTTTCGAAACAACATTCTCTTAACACATACTGTCATTGAATGTGGAGAAATCCTCTATTAATCTAGTCAGTCATTGCATTTTATCCCTTTGGCCAGCGGCATGTTAAATCACTGGGGTTCACATATGGTCTACCATCCTTAGTTAAAAGAGTTATCTTTTATTATCTCAAGAGAGCCGTGAAAACTATTAACAGAACAAAGCTTATTGGAAAAATGTACAAATACAGAATCAAAGGTGACATTAAAAAGAAAAATTATTTCATATCTTAACAAGAGAAAGTTAAAAGTAAAATATAATAATATCTTAGAAGAAATTAGTATCGATTTAGGTGTTCCACGAGGGTCAGTTTTAGGTCCAATATTATTTATAATTTACATTAATGACTTAATCAAGTATATGAGAAACATTTGGGAATGATTGTATAATTCAATTATTTCCTGATGACATATTAGTGTATGTAATTGGAGAAACAGAAGCGGAAATTGAATTTAAACTGTAAAGTGTATTTATTGCAATACAAAAATGGTTAAGGATAAATAAATTCATAATGAATGTTGAAAAGACGAAATTTTTGATTTTACGTAGTGGAAGAACCATAGAAGTAAGGGAAACCAAATTATTCACAAATGACTTAAAGGAAATACAAGGGGAATACAAAATGAAATATTTGGGATAAATTATCGATAGTAAATTACATTTTAAAGACTATATAGAGTACATAGTCAAGAAAACTGGAAAAAATATTAATATTTTAAACAGAATTGGGCAAAATATAAATGGATATACAAGGTGTTTGATATATAAATCCATAATTGCACTAAATTTTGATTACTGTGCAACAGTAACCCAAAAAACTGAAATTAAAAACTTCAGATTAAACAAAGCAGAGCTATGAGAGTAATAATTCAATGCAATAGATACACTCCAGTGCTAGATATGCTAGATACACTGAAATATATGTCAGTAAAAGAGAGAATTTATTAAAAGCCACTAATTTTTATTTTTAAATTAATTAAAAATCATATAACACGAGATTTGGTAAACAAAATCGAAAGAGTGAAAGGTAAAACAACAAGGGAAATAAGACAGGCTGAACATTTAGTAATTAATTTCAGTAAAACTGTACAGGCAAAAAGCAGATTATATGACAAAGGATTTGAGTTATATAATAAATTACTGTTAGAAATGAAAAGTTGTGAACAAATTAAAGACTTTATAAAAAAACTTATAAAGTACATAAAGTAGAAAATTTATTTGGTAAATAAATAGAATATACTTACAGATGTAAACAGTGTATGTAAATGTGTTTCAAATAGTCAAGAAGGCTAAATAAACCAATTTGTCTATCTTTCCTGAAACTGCAGTGTCTCTAGTTGCTTAAGCTCTGTGGTTAAGCAATTATACATTTGCTTATTTGGTTTTATTTTCAGTGGCATGGTGGCTGAACGTGTAAGCCTTAGATACTTTCTTGCTTTTGGTATGATACTTTCTGGAATATTTTCATATCTCTTTGGAATTGCTAGAAATTATAATATTCATACATTGTGGTACTTTATTATTGTCCAGGTTAGTAATTGAAGTACGTATGCTCTTTATAGACTTTTGTTTATGTATTTAATCTCAATTTACTTCAATTTAATTTCAGATTTTGGGAGGTTTTGTGCAAACAACTGGCTGGCCAGGTGTGGTCACTGTAGTTGGAAATTGGTTTGGTGAGGGTAATAGAGGTAATTTTCAATTTGTCACTGTTCTACAATATAATACGCAGTTCAATAAATTTCATTTATATTTTGTTATTATTTTATAATAGTATGTAACAGCATCCACAATCTATCAATTCTTAGTTTGGATGTGAATTAGAAAGATGCAAATACTGCTAGTAGCCAACAATTTTTAACAAGTCATATAAGAATTGTTGGATTAATTGATTTTATTTCTATCATACAGTGGCAAGGGTAGTCTGAGAAGCACTTCAGAGAAGGCTTACCTTATGAAATCAACACAAAAGAGGAACTTATTTTAAAACAATCTTCTTCTTCTCGTCTTCCTCCTCCTCCTCCTCCTCCTCCTCCCCCTCCTCTTCTTTTCTTCCTCCGTTTCCTTCTCATCCTCTTCCTCTCTCTCTGTTTCTCATTACCCTCCTGCTTAATCCCCTTTACCTGCTGCTGCTTCTCCATCTGCAATTCTTGTTCTCTGCCTCCTTCTTTTCCTTCTCTCTCTGTATTTCTTTCTCCTCTCTATGTTTTTTCCTCCTAGCTCCTCCTCCCAGGAGGCAAAAGAAGGTAGAGGATAGTGTTTCAGAGTGGACTTAGGAAGTGCCTCACTACACTCAAGCAATCCATGCCTGTGGCAGAATTCAAACTCTTGATCCTACACGCCAAGGAATTTTCTGTGCCCCAACCTTAACTTGGCTTCTAAAATTGGTATTATGATTTGGTACTTTTTTTATTAAACAACAGCAATATAATTTGCGTCAAGTCAGGAATTTCGATGAATAGTGACAACACTATGGTCTGCAAAATATCCTCTGTTAAGCAATGTATTTCGAAAATGACCTTGAATATACTTACACCTGGATGCAATATCTAAAGTTTTCCTTGGTTTTTTAGGTCTGATATTTGGAATCTGGAATTCTCACACATCAGTTGGCAATATTTTGGGATCTCTAATTGCTGGAGAATTTGTGGAAACAGATTGGGGCCTATCCTTTATTGTTCCTGGTGTTGTAATTGCTTTAGGAGGCTTCCTTGTATTTTTGTTTCTGATACCTCATCCATCAATCGTTGGAATCACTCCAGCATCT